TTATTTATACCTTTTCTCATTCCATAAAAGAATTTGAGGGAGTAACATATTTTTTGAATTGAAAGCTACTTACATCATACTTCTAATAATATTTTCAAAATAATTATTTTGAAAAGTTATGAAAATAGTTAAAGCTTAATTATTTAAGAAAATGCATATTTCGTTACTCTTATGATTGCTTAAAATTGACCTATATGATGTAGAGAATTGAGTATTCATTTTTGAGATATCAAAGCTAATAAATATATGCAGAATCACATGTCAGAAATTGACTGGCTTGGGATTAATCTTGATTGTCATAATACATCTGACGAAATTTTAGTTAGGGCCCTTTTATGTTGTACTTTGGGACTAAAATGTTTAAAAGTATTATTAAAAAGAGCCTAACATTTCCCCAGAGGAGTTTTAAAAACTGTTTCCTTAGTGGAAAATTTAATGGATGAAGTCACAGGATTTTTAAAATATGATGTTGCAGGGTAACAGATCTGTTGCATATAGTGGGTAATTGTTGGGCAGTCTGGACACCAGGCCTTAATCTCATTTACTATGAACCTTGGGGAAATTATGTAGCTTTTCAATGTTCTACTCTTTACTTCTGTAAAAAGGGCCTACTCTCTAGCCCTCACTAACTTATGTAAGGGATATAGATGACTTGAGCTTTAAGCCCCTTTATAGAAAGGCTCACCGACAATCACGCTCATAACTACGACAGAAGTTACTGTTGCTGCTGCTTGTAATAATAATACATCATCATCATCATCATCATCACATAATAATAATATAATAATAGTAAAAATAAGATGGTAATCATTATCAGAATTTAGATTCTGGGAAGAGGTGGTAACTTTTTAGTATAAGAAATCTTCCTAGGCTATGAATTAGTAATTTTATATATTTAAAGGCCCTGAGAGTGGGGATTCTATATCTTTTTTTTTTTTAATTTTAGGAAGAAAGCTTTTTCAGATTTAAATAAGTTGGATGAGGAATAATATTTTCTTCCATGTGCTTAAAAGCCCTGTGACTTTAGAGCCTTTGGTTTTTCTGAGAATTAAGTTCTCTTTTTCATTGAGAACTGTAACAAAGGGAGAGTCTATGGTTCTCTCAGTACATGTATTTCTTCTGTAGAGCTTCTTCAGTTGGATGCCAGATGTAGTTCAACGCCCTTTTCATTTTCCTATCAAGTCTATAAGCTCCTCTAGGTCATAAACTGTATCTTTTTTTGTAACCCAGAGCCTAGTACAGAGACTAATGCATAATAGCTATTCTATACATGTTTAAATCACACAGTCCTATGAGTGATGGGGTGGGCATTCTAGAGGAGTAACTATGAAAAGACGTGAAATAAGTATCACTGAGATGGAAAAGTTTTAATAGGGAATGGTGAGAGGGGAGACTGAAGAAAAGATTGGAGTTTTATTTTAGAAGTCCATGATGGTAGTAAGCATTATTTTTGATATTTTTTGTATCCCACACAGAAATTTATAATCATCCTTTTATGACAAAGGAGACAATCTGTTCTGCAGACTTTGGGAACTAAACAAGTGCTATTCCAATATTTACTGCTTCTCTTTCTCTTGAATTACATTCTTGCACGCATGCTACGGTCTGAACACTTCTGTCAGCAGTTGTGGGCAGAGACTCTACTGTGGGCTGCTGCAGTTGGAACCATAGAAAGCATATGTATTGTATCGGGCATATTTTTAAATGAACTATTAGTAACGTTAGCAAGTCCTTGAGGGAGTCCCAGTCAACTTTAGTGCTTCTAAAGAGCACTAAAATTGTTGATATTAATGGAGGATGGAAAATTCCTTTCGGAGGTAAAATTTTAATTCTGGCTTAAAAAAGGAATTTATTCCTCAAAGGCGCAAATAAGATAAGAAACTGGACCTCGTGGAAAAACTTTTACCCTCTGGAGACTTGAGTTTAAATTCTTTACTTAAATCTTTATATTCTAATACATTTGGCATTTACAACCTTTGTCCATATCATGAAACCATCAGGCAGTCTAATATTTATGGGGTGTGTTCTCTAGAATGATTCCAGACTAAGAGAGTTTTTGTAGCAAAGATAAGATTATGAGACAGAAATGAACGTAGCTATGACCTAATTTGAAGCGAAGCTTTGCCATGTGTTTGTATTCGGCTCCTAGGTTGTTTATTTCTTAAAAGAAAACTGTGCCTGCCTTGCACCCTTTGAAGGATATAGCTAATGAAGACATGTCTTATGTATTTCTTCATTACATGTTTTTTCTCACATAGAACATTTTACATCTGTTACAATTACTTAGATCCTCATTTCTAAGTTTCAGTGATAACTGAAGAAACTGAATATAGACCACTTTTATGACACTAATGTTAACAATGACTTTTTTAAAGTTCGGTTCTCTAAATAGAAGTCATAAAAACAATATTTCAGAATGTTTGCAGCACCCCCTGCTGGCTGTATTGTGGCACTTCCTAAATAAATATAGCATCTTTAGCTACTGCTCAATAATACTTTAGTTATACACACCATTTCTCTTTGGAGTTATTTTTATTTAGAAATAAATTCATTTGCATCCAATATAAAAGAGTGGAAATTTTGATTTAAGGCAATTTGCTTTGTATTTTGTCAGTTGATATTTGAATGGTGCTTATCCTTCCAGGCAATATAATAATGTATTTGTTGGAGACCAATTATTTGCCATAATCTTTTTACTAATATTTCAGATGAAATTCAGTGGAGGAGAGGCATCTCCCTAAATGTCCCTGTTTTATTGTATAATGCCACCATGAGCATACTTTGTACGTCAATCTGTATGCACATTTATTATATGCTAAATACAAACCTTGGAATATTCATAAAGCTTTAATAAGAGCACTTCGAATCTTGAAAGACATCCTCTGAGGAAGAGTTGGGGGTGGTGAAGACATAAGAGTTATAATAGCCATAAGGACAGTGATTGTGGTTGTTTGGCTCACCAGTGTGATGCCAGCCATGATCTGAAGTGCGTTAGTGACCCCTCTAAGGGGCTTTATGTCTGGAAAAAGAGTAATTATTTAAGGGAAGCATAATTTTCTAGTTAGTGCCATTTGAAGTGACAGCCATTGAATTTCAGTTTCTCAGGAACAAAATTCAGAGATGCTAAACTAACGGAGCAAAGATCATTTCCTAAATGGCAAGTTAAGCTAAGTGACAGAAAATTTAGGGCGATTGTTTATAAACATTGAGCAAATTTTAAGTGGAATCCTGCCCTAATTTAAAGACAAATTTATCTTCTTTAAATAAAAACATATCTTCCTGTTTTGTGTAAACCCTTCATTCACTATTTTAACAAAAGTTTACTGAGATTACACACAGTGTTCCCACAGTGCTTTATGTTCTTTGTTTTCACGCTGTATTGCAATTGACCGTTCACTTGTTTGTTTCCCGCCCTGGGTGCTTAGTGCTTATAGGATGGATGGATGGGTGGGTGGGTGGAAGAAGGGATGTTGAATCTAACAGGACTGAGGGTAGAAAATTAAAGAATCACCCATGGCCTTTAAAGGTCTTTTGATTTTTGCAATAATTGTTCACTTGTGTGTATATATGTCTTTGGGTGTGTTTTTTGGCTTACTACACATACAAAGATGTTTTAAGTTCTGTTAACTGATTTTATTTTCTAATAAAACATTATTCATCCAAAGAAGTGTAGTATTCTGAATCAGTAGAAAGTCTTAATCATAGGCAGTTTTAGAAAAATTGTAGCTTATTAGTTGCACACTTATAACACAGTCTTAAAAGCTAATGATTGGGGGCCGGCCTGGTGGCGCAAGCGGTTAAGTGCGCACGCTCCGCTGCGGCAGCCCGGGGTTCGCTGGTTCGGATCCCGGGCGCGCACCGACACACTGCTTGGCAAGCCATGCTGTGGCGGCGTCCCATATAAAGTGGAGGAAGATGGGCACAGATGTTAGCCCAGGGCCGTCTTCCTCAGCAAAAAAAAAAAAAAAGAGGAGGATTGGCGGATGTTAGCACAGGGCTGATCTCCTCACAAAAAAAAAAAAGCTAATGATTGACTTTTCTAAGTTAAAATCCTGTGGTTCTAAATTTCTGTGGTCCTTGTGTAACAGAGATTATAGTCTATTGGTACATGCTAACATTATGGTATTAGCATAATGATTAATACATTAATTTGCATAAGTAAACAATGTTAAAACAATTTATTTTCATAGCATTTCTCCCTACAATAATGGTACCTTTATTAATTTTGTGTGTGAGAAAGATTAGCCCTGAGCTAACGTCTGTTGCCAGTCCTCCTCTTTTTACTGAGAAAGATTGGACCTGGGCTAATATCTGTGCCCATCTTCCTCTACTTTATATGTGGGACGTCTGCCACGGCATGGCTTGATAAGAAGTGCATAGGTCCGTGCCTGGGATCCGAACCTGTGAACCCCAGGCTGCTGAAGCGGAGCGCAGGAACCCAACCAGTACGCCGCCGGGCCAGCCCCTATTAATTTTATCACTCCTTTACGGTGATATAAAAGCCATCTGGTGAATTATCACAAAATCAGTATTAACATAGACCCTAATTAAGAATCTAAGGCATTTTGCGTATTATACTCCAGAACTTAAGTTTAGTTTGTCATATATGAAATTATTGTAGGATATATTTTAGAGTAACAGAAAGTAGTTTTACTTCTACCTATACCTTCTGCCTTTAATTTTAGAAGTAAATCCATAGAATCTGTTTAGGCCTCATGAAATGACTATAGAAGTTATGAACTAGCTGATTTTGGCATGTACCTTCATTTAGCAAATGAGGAAACTTGAGCCCAGAAAGATTAGGTGAAACTTTCCAAAGTCCTGGTGCCTGAGCTACATTTCCTGATTAACCACCCAGAGTTTTTCCACATTGCTTCCCATGTAGAGGATAGAGAATAAAATTATCTTATCAAGTGGCCAGGAAGGGTGTTTCGCTGAATTAATTAGATTGTAGTGTCTCTGAACTATGTGTAACATTTTCATATTTTTCTTTGTTGCAGAATGCAAAGTATGGCGAAATCCATTAAATTTATTTAGGGGCGCTGAATATAATCGGTAAGCATTTTGACAGCTTGGGAAACAAATGGGTCTAGTTCAGAGAGCAAAGACAGCAGCAAATGTTTTTGCTGGTTCATTTAGGGGTCATTCTAACAGTCTGTTTAGTGCTTCCATTCTTTGATACTATCCTTAAATGTTTTAGTTTTTCTGTTTTATAAGTATTTTAGCATTGGAATTGGGATAATATACAAAAATGTGTAGTTTGTAGAAATTTTCTATTACAGTTATTCTTTTCATTATATTATACAATCAAAATATTTTGAAGCTTACCTGGGACATGGTTATAAAGATGCCACAGAAGTTATGTTGGAATTTAATTTTGCAGAGTAATTAGGCAAGTCAGAATTTTCATGGCTTTTGGGAAATGTCTCTTCATAATACTGGTTAGGGAAGGTTTTCATTAGCTAGTCCTAGTAAAATTTTAGGACAAAAATATAGGGAAAATGTTTACTTCTGTCCTGTTGATATACTTCCTAAAGAGATAATAGAATGATTTTTTTAAAATATTTTTTTATTCATTGGCAAAGCTATTTTAGTACTCAGTTAATGGTTTATAGTTCAGCTTCTATGCAGCTTAATATTTTGTAGATCTTGCTTTCCTCTCTCAAAAGTGTCTGACCATTTTATTTCCTCTTCACAGGTACACTTGGGTGACAGGACGAGAGCCTCTGACTTACTATGACATGAATCTCTCTGCCCAGGACCACCAGACATTCTTTACTTGTGACTCGGACCATCTGCGTCCTGCAGATGCAAGTATGGAAAATCCTTCAGATAGTTGCTGAATGGGAGGGCTTCTTGGTTTGTTTTAAGTATCAAGGTTACTACTTTTAGAGTATCTGCACTATAGAAGCCTCAATGAATAAAATATTAAATTGCAGCTTGACTGGTAGAACCCATAATTCTGATACTTAAATAAAAGCTTTGTCACAATGAAGTGTTGATGTAGAAATGAGTCCCCTTATTATAATTTAAAATATTATTTAAAAAATATACCAAAGTTGGATTTATATATTTTCAAGAAATATTAATCTTATATGAAGCAAATTAAATCTTTGATTGAGATAGAGCGAAGGGTCATGTCTCTTTGATGATATTCTAGTTAGAAATTGGGATTCAGTGAATCCAAATGATTACTAAATATATTGTAGTGATTTATATGCCTATTTATAGGTTCACTAGCATTAAATGGGGGCATGGCCTTGGCTATTGGAATCCATATTTGTTTTCCATCCTAGAAAAGACTTTGGTGTGCATTTGACACTGGTTGAGTTCTAAATAATCTTACTGATATTTTTTATGTTCCACGCTTAAAGAAACTAGATGGAAAAAAATTTTTTTAAAAGAATATGTACATGCTCCTAAGAAACTAACTTAGAAGGCACAAATTTATAAAGCAAATTAAATAAGGAGATTGTTACTCTTTTTTAAGAGGTGCTCTTTGCCATGGTGGAACATCCTAGTACGATAAATATTCCGAGCATTGAGCTTCCCACAATATGTTCACAGACTTCTCTGGCGTATAAAAACTGGGTTTGCAGCAAACTTTGGGAGCAGATACACATATTAAGCAAAAGCCTAAAGCTTTTTTTTCTGATACAACTCAGAATTCTTCAAATGGTTTTAAAATGTTCTAATATCCAGAGCCTGTAACAAGTGTTTGGGAAAATGACCAATGGAAATTATGTTGTGTCTAAGTAGAAGGAAGAGATTAATAGCAATGTCATTTCAAAATATGTGAACTAATATATGTTCTCTAACAACAAATGACATTAATGCAAGAGCAAAAACAAATATTAAATCTCTATTAGAGTGCCTTTTCTTGGTTAAGAAATCTTAATCAAGGTTAAGTCTCTAAGATTATAGACTATGGATTAGTCTATAAGATTTAGATCTGTAGTTTCATGAGCACGAGAGAGATTTGATATCAGTAATTGAAGGGCAATGGAATAGCAAATTAGAATGTATTTGTGTGACTTTGGAGATTTGGGCTGACTCTCTTGGTAAGTGAAATATTCTCTTGTAATTCAAGCTGAGAGCTATTAATTTAGCTATTGTCCTGTATTGAGTCTTCCTAATTATGTGTATTGAGTATCTTGCTTTTTTCTCTTTTTCTAAAATAGTAATGCAGAAAGCCTGGAGAGAGAGAAACCCCCAAGCTAGGATTTCTGCAGCTCACGAAGCCTTAGAGATAAATGAGTAAGTGCAGGAAAATCTTGCTTTTAAAAAGAAAATCTCATCCTTTGCTGAATGTATTCAGTTGCCACTGATGGGATACTTACATTAAACTATGCATTTGAACTTGAGGATTAATTTGGGGGGGGTATTAATTTATTTAAAAAATTTTTTTTATGAAGGACATCCATGTGAAGGTGGTTTTAGTCATTTTAGAGAACAATTCAGTGGCTTTGCTATGACCCTAAATTATATTCTTCAAGGGCTGTCTGTGGGATATTGTGAGGACATAAAATAAATACAGTTCTTTACATATCTAAAACATTTTGACAGGGGCCAGCCTCGTGGCTTAGCGGTTAAGTGCGCGTGCTCCGCTGCTGGTGGCCGGGGTTCGGATCCCGGGCGCGCACGACGCACCGCTTCTCCAGCCATGCTGAGGCTGTGTCCCACATACAGCAACTAGAAGGATGTGCAGCTATGACATGCAACTATCTACTGGGGCTTTGGGGAAAAATAAATAAATAAATAAAAATTATTATAAAAATAAAAAAAAATAAAACATTTTGACAGGGAGAATTTTCTAGATGTAGTGCTCATCTGTGCCATCACATTTTCTAGGTAGAACTTCTGCTAGTGGGGAAAACAATAAAAACATAAGGTGAAAAAATTACACTTAAAAAATATTTCAAGATCAAGACAAAGATAAGAGGGAATGCCATCCTTAGTGTCATTAAACATTCTATGAGTTACCAAGGAAGGCTGGGAAATCTTTTCTGGAAATCTCAGAAAATGAGAAAGATTCTTAAAGTTGGAGTCATAAAAGCTCAGGGTTGGCAGAGACCTTAAAGGTCATTTAGCTCAACCACCCATTTGGTGCTTGAATCACCTCGACACTCTCCCTGCCAAGTGGTCATTATTAAACTATTTTATGATTTTTCTGAAGAAGTTTACAGAATCTTCTTCAGAAGTCTTAGAAAAAAGATTTACTTGAGAGTTGGAAATCTTGCCATTGTAACCTGTTGATCTATTTGGTTTCTGATTCTGTCATGCAACATATTTATTTTCCAGTTTCTTGTCATCTACAAATTTGATATGCCTGCCTTCTGTGTGTCATCCATGTTTCTGATAACAATGTCGGTATCAGGGGTAGAACCCTGTAACATGACGTATGGAAACCACCCTCCAGGTTCATGTCTTCATGAATCATCATCCTTTGGTATTGTTCAACCAATTGCTGAGCCACCCGGTTATACTTCAGCCCATATTTCTGCATTTGGATCTTAAGAATGCCAGTTGTAGCTATGGATCTTTAATGTATAGTCAATCTATTAGTGTAAATTAAGCTAGCACAACCTGATTTATTTATTTTTAGTGAATTTAAGCTAGCTTCTAGTGTTCACTACTTTCTTTTTAAAATGCTTGGAAACCATCCCTTTAATAATCCATTAGAATATTTTTCCAAAGCACTGTTCTGTAGTTTGAGAAGTCTGCCTTCTTTCCCTTGGTGAACATTTTTACTACATTCGTCATCTCATCTTCTAGTACCTCTCCATTCTTTGTGATTTCTTAATTGTCCACATAGAGCAATTCCGTGGCCTACCTACAAGGTCTGTTGGCTTCTTGGGAAGCTTCTTTGCCTATCCCAGTACAGTAACTCATTTAGAATAGATCAGTTATTGCTATCTTACATCTTTTTACCCATTTTGGAGTGTAATTTCTTCTCCATTTTTCAGTCTGACAATCATTCTTTTTGATGGAGAAGCCAGGAACAAAATAGGTGTTAGAGAGTGTTGGTTTCTCTTTATTACCTGCTACTACTAACTATAAACTTTCCTTGTTTTGATGTTATGTTGTTTGTCTTTTTTGCTTATTTATTTTTGTGATGGTTTTGGAGAAATGGGGGTGATGATAGGGCCTTAAACATAGTTTAAAAACAGGGAATGGATGGTTGTTTTAGCATTTTGTTTAGTTTTGTCTTTATTTTGTTTTGCAAGCTTTGGCTAAATTGGAGTTTTAGCTCTCCTGACATTATTCTTATAAGCTCGTTACACTCTCTTGTAGTCCTTCATTACATGCCCTCTTTCCATCTTTTTTTTCCATCTCCTTTAAAACTCTGACCTTGTGAGAGATCTCTGTGCAGCCATGTTGGTGACTTAATTGTCATCCCTTTTTTCTTCCTGAGAGGATCATTTGTGGTTGCAGTTACACTTGGACATTTGGAAGCTGCCCAACCCTCTTAAACCATTTTTCCCTCTAAGTCTCATGCCATTGAATCATGCCTCTTTTCTTTGAATTTTTTGAAGTCCACCTTACCCTCTTTGATTATCCTGAACTCCAGAATGACATAGTAACTCTCTCTGAATGTTCCTATCAATTTTCATTTCACCAACTATTTTTTTCTTCTTGGTCAGAATTAGGTCCAGAGTTGAAGTTCCCCTAATTGCTTCCTCTACCATCTGGGAGATAAAATTGTTACCAAAGTAAGTCAAGAATCTGTCGGGTCCCCTACTTCTAACCAAATGAGACTTCTTCTAGCAGATATCTGGATGGTTGACACCCCCATCACCACACTTTCTTGCTTCTGTATGTGTATTGTGTTGTGACAAGGATGCATCATCTATATCTTCCATCGAGCTGAGCAGTCTGTTCTGTACTCCCCAACCATTAGCACTTCTATTGCTCTTTCCTTTCTCCTTCACTCACAAGCTCTTAGCATGTTTCTACCCCAGACTCATGAGTTTCCACATAGATGTATGTTTTCTTGGCCAGTAGTGCTACTCTGCCTCTCCTCCTAAGAATACTATTTGAAATGTAAATAAAGCAAGCAAGCTGGCCCCAACCTGTCTTGAGTTTCCAGCCCACCAACTATAGTCTTACAGCTAATTCCTCTGATACTGTGTCTACCACTCAGTATTATGATCTTGATTTTCACTTCATTACCCTTGACCCATTTTTATATGCCGGCATCTGAAGCCTTAAGTATTGCTTCCTGATGCCTATCCTAGTTATTTTCTCCAGTTAACCACTGGGAAGTTTCAGCATCATTATTATTCTTTCCAAGTCATATCTACTGCCCTCCATAGTAATTGGTTTTACGGGTTTTTTCCTGGACATTTTTCTCCCTACGTCACCACATTCAGTCGGAAGCCCCATTGATCAATCCTGCCTGAAATTAGAGGGATTGGCTAAAGAATTTACAAGACCCCTCTTCAAGGCTAAGATTAACTAGTAACCCCAAACCTCACATTAGCCCTAAGTTCAGCCTCCTTTTCCTAGCTGGCTGTTGCAGTTTATGAATAGTAAAAGTAACATTTGGTTTCACTTTCTGTTTATTTTCTCTCTTGTGGTCTGATGGAGGTTCTGATAAGTAGAGAAATGACCACAAGAGAGGCAGTGGAGAAGAAGGAAAGCAAAGGGATCTGTGCAGATCAGGACCTGTGTGGTCTGTTCTGGGCTCACCATTTCCCTATTACATTCCCTTTCTCTGGCAGTTGGGTTGTTCTTAAATGATTTGGAAGGTTTAAATTTTTAAGAGTTCCCCTTATTCGTTAGTTAACTGCTTATCCTTTCTGGTTTCCTACCTTAAGAGAGTTGTTGAAAGGATTAAGTGAGACGATATATGTTAAGTGCCTGCTACAGTGCTTAAGATATACCAAGCAATAAGTGGTAGCTCTTATTGTTAAAGGCATGAGATTTAACTCTTGTTTTTACTGAGGCTGAATCAAATTTTGAGCTCTTCAGAAATAACACTACCTGCAGGTTCTTCTAGTGTTCTCTGACAATCAGTGCTAACTGTAATGAGATGTTGAAGCACTATTTTTTTCAATGAGTTACTTACTTGATTTAATGAATTTCTCATTCTGAAGAAAATTTTAGATTAAAGAGAATCTGTGTTTAGTAAACAGAAGTAAACTTATATATAGTACTTCTAAATTTGAGTGTTAGAAGGAGATGTTTACTAACAGCTATTATCATTGCCATTGTTAATTGACATCTATTGAGCATGTACCACATGCTGGCTACTGTACTGAGCACTTTACATGCATCACCATACTTAACCTTCACAACAACACTGTGAACAAATAGATTCCATGTTGTTCTCAGGGAGGCAGAGTAATAACTTGCCCAAAATGACACACTAATAAGGGGTGGAGTCCATATGTGAGCCCTATGCTCCTAACACTACGCATCCTACTTCTCAAGCTAAAATACAGACATTTCTTTTGTACCATTATTTTGTGTCAACAACTACAAACAGGGGTGCATGAACCAGTTGGCCACTCTGCATGTTTTGACGTAACTCCTTGCCCTTCTGCATGCGCTCCTACAGCTATTACGATGTCCTTAGATTTATAATTGATGGTGGCTATTATCTGAACAAACAGGTGTGCAACTGCTTATATTCTCTTGGCTGAAGAAGAAGCAACAACCATTGCTGAAGCAGAAAAGCTGTTTAAGCAGGCTCTGAAGGCTGGAGATGGGTGTTACCGGCGTTCTCAGCAGCTACAGCATCATGGATCCCAGTATGAAGCCCAACATAGTAAGGTTTCCTCCAGGTTGACGTGTTGGGGATCAGAACTGTAACATGATTAATCAGAGCAAGTTTTCGGGCCAGTTCAAAATATGACTCTTCTAGATGAAAATAAATATTGACATTTGCCTCTTCTTTGTTTTTATTAGTTTTTTCTTTCCCATGAGAGCACAGTACCTAATTAACTTATAGCTTCATTACTGTTCACATTAGTGTTCAGATTCTGTTTCCTGCGCATAGATTTCTAATAGAAATAAATGATACTAACCTTTAATTGTAACCTTTTTTCTTCCCAAAATTCTTACATATTTCTGTTTATCAGTTGCTTCTCTGCCCCATAACTTTAAGTCCTAATTGGGAAACAGGACTTAAATTAGTGTTAGGGTTATTATAGTGTTACTTTATGGATCTTCTACAGCATGGGTTGAAATAGGACAATTAAGAATAGAACAGTTATTGGTGATTGTCTCAGTATTAGCTCTTATTTAGGAAGAATTGGTGTTGGCTTCCAGAGAGAAAGAGCCATGAGTTCCTAATTATTTGTCTTTTTTATATTAAGCATAATGGCTTCCTTTATTTAAGATAAATGAAAGATCACTTCAGTACACTAAACTGAGAGTCAGTGATATTTTGGGGGAATGGTATAAAAACAAGACAACAAAATGGTTTCTGGAATTCCCTGAGCCCCTTGACTTGTCAGTTTGTCGGTTGTTTAAGCAGAAATTTAGCAGTCCTTGTGGGAGGGAGTGTTTCCATTATTCAAACTAACTTTGGGTTGTTTCCTTAACTTAAAGTGGAATTTCTCTTACCTCATTTCTCTCTCCTGCATCTTGGAGAGTAGGAGTGTATCTCCTTCATATTGAGATTATAAAATTAAATTTTAGTATTAAATTTGAATTTAGTGCAGACAGTGAGTGCATTAGTCCCTATGACTAAGGTACAGCAAGACTTTTGCATTATGGCCTGTGTATACATGAGTGTGTCCACACAACCCATCAATATACAGGTTTTTGTTTTTATTCTGCAGTAGGTATATATGTTAATAAAGCATCTAATCACCATCTATATCTTGCTTTTTTTAAAAAAAATGTATAACAAATTTTGAAGACATGTAGTAAATGTCATTTTGTGAACTAAATGAGTATTAATACATAAAATTACATAACTTAATATAACTTAAGAAATTTTCTTTATTTCTTTTCTTCTGTGAATTAAATCCTTTCAACCTGCTGCCTAAATCTATCCAAAAAATATAATCACATCTTTAAAATAATTTGTAGGTACTTGGCAAATTTTCAGCACACATCTTGTTCTCATTGTTTAAAACATGACATGTTAGGACTTCAGTCTTAACATCTTTTAATAGCTGCATATTATACATGTATTTAATCTATAACAGGTGTGTCATATTTTTCTAAAACATGGTAATTTTATTGAGGATTAAGCACATGCATGTTCTCACTGGTCTGGAAACATATCCAAAAAGACATATAATTAAATAAAAGATTAAGATGAAAAGTTGTTAATGTACTTTTTAAGAGCCATTTTAGTGACTATTATTATAACTATTTAGCTTGTCAATGCTTTCTCTAACACTAGGGTAGTTTTTCATTTTGTTGCATACCCTATTGTCATATCTGGAATGTGTTATATTGCCATCTAAAATTGACTGCTTGGGGGACCTGGAGATAATTATGATGTCACTAGTGTTAGGGAAAGAATAATATAAAACAGAAGTTCAAGATGAGGCTTCTCCAGACTTAATGTCAAGAAGGAAGAAAAATAGTTCATCAGGATGCAACCTGAGATTCACCTCTTTGCATCTTCACCGAAAGCATGCACATTTGAAGAATGTGAAATTCTTGCTTGTAAACCGCATGCAATGTGGGTATGTTCATTTTCCCAGCAGTTTGTGGCAGATGATTTTATTTATCAAATATTCAACATCCTAACTCAAAAGCATGAGTTAGGTAATCAGTCACGTGATTTGACCTTTGGAAATCTAAGTACTTTGACTTTACTCTGTATGTATTCTACTATTAGCAAAGTTGTCAATGCTCCTGGCAGTAAGGAAGAGCCTAGGAGAAGTCTGTTCTCTCTGAGGTTTTCCTTTCAGGGCATGCAAATGGGCCTCTATATTTTTTCTTACTGCTCAGCTGAAAGGTCTTGTTTTTTAAAATTTTGGTGTTTTATATCTCCCTCTTCAGGACGAGACACCAATGTCTTGGTCTACATCAAAAGAAGGCTAGCAATGTGTGCCAGAAGACTTGGGAGGACCAGGGAAGCAGTGAAAATGATGAGAGACGTGAGTTTGAATTTGTGTTTGGGATCAGTGGCAGTGCACCTGACTTAGAGAAGGAGGAGCCCACTGAATGCCATAGCAGAGAGCACCAGTGATGGTGTCCCATGAACGCTGAAGCCAGGCTCTCTGGGGTTCAGCTCTAGCTACCAACTTACTGGATGTGTGATCTTGGGCAGGTTACTCAACTTCTCTGTGCCCTGTTTTCCTCATCTGTAAAATGAGGATAACAATAACAATATAATAATAATAATAACAATTACTACTTAGGATTGTTGCAAAGATTAAATGAGATAATACATGCAAAGCTTTTAATAGAGTGACTGGCATATTAAAGAAATTTCAAGAGATGTCATTATTAAACCTTTGGGGCTGTAGCCAGAAGCCGAGGATGAGATCAGCCATTTTAGCTGACTAGCTTCTTTTTGTGTGTAGCTATTAGGAAGATTTGAATAAACTATGGGTCAAATTGCCACCTTCAAATTTAATAATATTATGATCTAATGTTATTGTAGTCATTTCAAGCATTTTCCTCGATTCTTGGATCAGGATATTTTATTAGTAGTAGTCAACATAAGAAGAGAGGAAATAGGTGAACGTTTTAAAACAAAAGATAACCAAGAGAGGTTATTATTATGTAACTTTAAATCAAAACAGTGGTTTTAAGGGAAACCAGCTGAGGAATTTTTACTTCCACATTTTTTTTTAATAAGGAATACTTTTCGTAAAGAAATTGACACTAGCGTAAATTGTACTTATAAGCCATTTTCTTTTTAAAAACAATCTTAGAAAACCTTTGTCAACATTTTATTCTTGTACTGTCTTCCTGGATTAGGAGACATAGGTAACTGCCCATTATAAAAATGAAAGAACCAAGAGGCAAGATAAAAGGAGCATCTTGTCCAATTCTTGGTTTTTGGGTTTCAGAACAGGACTTTGTAAACCTAGTGAGTCTTTTCTCAGTTTGTCTCTGGAAGGGCAGTTATTCATGTGAATTCCCAGTAACTCTTTGGAGGTAGGGGCCTGCACTCTAGGCCCACCCCTGGTTGTTACTGCCAGTTACAGCATAATGTGAAGGCCCGAGTGAGACCCAGGCTTGGGTTCTGGCTACTCCATTAAACAGCAGTATAGCCCCCAGACCTGAGGAGAGGAACAAGAGGAGGAAGATTCTGAAATAATTTTATTTGACTGAAGGTGATAGATGCTCCTTAGGCAAAGCCATTGCAAAGGGGGTGTCCTGGGATTAAATTCTTTTGGTTGAAGGAAGAATTTAAAGAATGTTTGTTATATACTATAAGTGGTAATTTTAAGAAAAGGAAATTTCTGCAGAGACATGAACTTGCTCTCCAACTTTTTAACTTGCAGAAATTCCATCCCTTGATATAGCAAAGAAACTCTGCCAGTCCTTTGGCTCTGAAAGAGCTGAGGATTTTATGAAGGATGGGATGGATATTTCTCTGTCTTAACCTGCCCAGGCACATTCAGCCTTTAACAGGGTATTTTGTATTTATTGCCTCTTCTTAACCTTTATTAGCCTGGGACAGACATGCATGGAGGAGCAGATTTTGGTGATTTTCTTTATTATATGCTTAAGCAACTTCTTAGGAAAAACAAACTTGGATGATTTTAATTCCAGTTTTTTCTATCAGTCTCATTCTGATTATCATCTTTTTTTTTTCTTGGCGAGGAAGATTTGCCCTGAGCTAACATCTGTGCCAATCCTCCTCTAGTTTTGTTTGTGTGACGCCACCACAGCGTGGCTTGATGAGCGGTGTGTAGGTCCACACCCAGGATCCGAACTCGAGAACCCCGGGCTGCCGAAGCGGAGCACGTGAACTTAACCACTACGCCACCTGGCTGGCCCCATGATTATCATCATTTTTAGGATATACATATAAAATTCCACGTGATTAAAACTAATATATATATTTACTATGGTTTGATTTTTTGTTTAACATTGTTTTGTATTAACAATTCCATTTATTGACTTAGACCAAATGTAGATCTTGGGAGAAAATCGGGGATAAATGTCAAATAAATGCTAGGCAGGGAGTCAGAAAATCTGGGTGTGAATCTCAGCTTTGCTCTTCACTAGCTTTGTGACCCGTGGCAACTTACTTCCCTTTTGTGAGCTTTTCATTCATCTTCTGTGAATTGGGGGTAATGACTCGTACTAAAAAGGTAATTGAGGGAGTGATGGGGAGGATGGAATGAGATAATGTGAAAACACCAACATATAGTAGACATTTTTTTTCCATATTTTTTTCTCTGTTGTATAAGTATGCCTTAATTTGCTTGACCATTCCCTTGATGGATATTTGGGGTATTTCTTATTTCTTGTTTTGAATGAGTGAATCAGTCAGTCAAGCAGTCTCTCTCTCTTTCTCTCTACATATGTGTATACACACACATACATGTTTATACATACATGTTTATATGTGTGTGTGTGTGTGTGTGTATCTGTATTTATATGTGTTTGTTTCTTGGGTTACTTTTCTTAAAAAATCTGTCATATCATTAGAATACCAATACATGTTGCCTTTTGACCGGGTTTATAGAGCATCCAGTAGATGTGGGCCCTACTGTTGTAACAATGCTATCAGGGACACCATCAGACATAGTGGAAATGGGTTTTGAAGAGAAATATTCAAAGTGCTTTTTCCTTCAGAAACTCTTGGCACCCCAAATGGAGGAGGTGAGGTTGAGGACCCCTCTCTCTGTTAAAGCTGCAGCTGGCCTCAGCCTTGCAGAAGACAGTTGTTGGTCGGGCCTGACTCCTCTCAGGTCATGGGTCATGCGTACATGGAGACTTCTCTGAGAGGTTCACTCCTTTAACAACATGCACATAAACCATCTTGCTGGAAAGCTTCCTCTGATAAAACAGCACACTGGATTCCAGGCAGTCTGCTGATAAAGCGTTTAGGCAGGAGGATCTAATTTTTCATTAAGACACAGCCATCTTCTCCCTATATACCTTAGGTGAAACCTTCCTGGAGCAGATTTTAAAGTGGAAATAGAAATGCTAGAGTCAGAATGCCTTATATAAAAAGTAGACTCTTTAAAAAATATCTCTGGAAACCCCTTAAGAAAGGGAAAACTTGATTGGTGAGATATCCGGAAAAAGAATGAGAAAATTCTGGGAAGGCCAGCTGTAGATGATTATGAATCTAATAAAATATTGATACAGTAAGTGAAATATTGATGAAGTAAGAACACATTGGCTCCTTAATGTCAAGATTTATGGCTTCTCATTTTTTAAAGCAACACATTAATTATTTTGAATCCCCATAATGTTTTCCCAAAAACTCACTTTAATTAGCTTCCTTTTGCGATCAAGAATATGGAAGCACCTTACTGAAGGAGTGTTTTGGCAGTGGGTAGAGCTAAGAGAGCATACTGGCTTTTGAACTTCACTGTAACGTGTTATTTATTATTAAAAATGAAAAGGATTGCGTTTTCTGCTATCTTAAATTTAAGGAAAAGTCTTTTTGCTTTTTCATTTTTGGTAATTTTGCCACTTTAACATTTGGTATATGACACAGTTTTTTTTAACTTCTACCATTTAGCTAGCCTCAAGTTCTTCCTCTGTCTTTCCCTGGCCCTATTTGAGTAGATTTAGAATAGAATTCATAAGGCTGCCTGATCTGGTCCCTTAGCCATACTGGGTCAGAACTGGTGTAGATAACTGGGATGGATGAGATTGTTTGCCCGAAAGAAAGAACCCCGAAGCTCTTCTTGCCTCAGGTAATTTGGTCTAGGGTAGAGTTTCTCAATCTTGGCACTATTGATATTTTGAGCCACATGAGTCTTTGTTGTGGGAGGCTGTACTATGCATTGTAGGATATTTAGCAGCATCCCTGGCCTCTACTCACTAGAAGCCAGTAGCAACCTGCCCCTTTTTGCTCCCCCGTGTAACAACCAAAAATGTCTCTAGACATTGCTAAATGTCCCCTTGGGGCAAGATTGTTCCCCATTAAGAACCACTGGTCTAGAGAATCCTGAAGTGAGTAGATCTGTTTCAGCGCAGACATTGGGTTTTTATTCACTCTACTTGTTAGTAGTCTGAACTTCCCCTTCCGTGGGCACAAGCATCTAAAGCATCCCTAGAGTTGATCAGTTCCTACTAAAACCCTTGATTTGGGAACCGGCTAGTTTGGGGGGCTGTTTTGTCTTAGATGGGATTCCCTGAAGAGGCATCCCCGGGCACAAAGAATAAAGGAACTTGAAGGTGTTGGTGGGGTCCTGGTTGGAAGGATGAGAAAGAGACAGAGGAGAATGTGCAGGCCTGATGTTGGGTAGTGATCTTGCTTGCTCCTAATGCATGCTTCCAGATTATTGTCTGCCTCTCTTCCCTAAAATCTACAGCTCCTTTGAAAGTTGACTATAGGCTCTCAGACTTTATCACCTGTTTCCACTCCTTTTTATAGTTTTCCACAGGGCTCTAAGTCATTCTCCCTCATTCTTGTTTCTCTCTCTCTTTCTCTGCAACACTACCTCTTTCAATATCCTGCCCTCTCATTTGATACAGTTCATCACAACCTCCTTGAAACACTTGATTTACTTGATTTTAGGAAACCATGCTCTCTTAGTTCTCCTAAAATCTCATAGTCTCTCTTGCTGAATTCCCCTCATATTCCTGACTTCCAAAATTTGAAGTGGCTCCTGGCCAGTCCTGATTCTTCTTTTCTATCTCCATCTACAACCCTGGATGACCACATTCAGGTTCAGAGTTTTAAATACCACCTAAATGCTGACAAACATTTTTATAGTGTTGGCTGTGTTCTAGGCATTATTTTAAGGGTTTTACAAATATAAACTCAGTTTTTCTCATGACAACCCTTGACATAAGTGCTTGTTCAAGGTTACATAGCTAGTGAGTATTTCTGAGAGTGTGGTCTACCAGTCACCTGCATCAGAAGTCCCCAGGGTGCTAGCTGAGTACCCACCTCATAGGGTTGGTATAGGGATTAAATGGAATAATCCATTCAAAGCAGTTGGCACGGGGC